TATTGTTGCTAATAAAAAGAAAAAAAAAAGGTAAATCCTTATTAATTCTTAAAAAAGCATGATGTTATTAAATAATTTCACCATCGATGTCTATGTTTAGGAAATTAGAATCAGTAGTGAACAACGTGAAACAGAGTTAAACAAAAAGCTCAGGGAAAAAATATCCGGAAAAATAGCTGTCAGGGCTTTTATATAAGTGACAGGATATTCAAGTATACTAGGAATAAATCCATCGCATCAATTTTAAATGCTTATGTAAAAACAAATATAAAATCTGAATGAAATTGTGCAAAAAATATTTTCTTATAAAAAGTAATTTAGTGGAAGATTAAGTAAAAGTTCATGATAATTATAGGATTCCATTGTCATTTGTCAAATATAAAGAATATAAATAGTGGAATTAACGATCATTTTATATGAGACTCGATTTATGAATGACCACTGTCTTTTCTATCTCCCTCAAAGTTTTAAGACTGTGGTCCAATCAAATCTGTGTTTTTATTGCCTTTCTAGCGCTTAATAACGGAGCTTTTATTTCTCTTTACCTATTATTTTTAAATACTACTGTGTCCAAACAGTAAGACCAATTATTTTTTTTATCAAAATTCTTTATTTATTCTTCCAAATTTATATCATCGAATTAAAAGTAATCATCTCCGGACACAATGCCCTTATGCCGACTTTTTTCCAATCCTTAATGCATGCTTAAAAAATAATCGGCAGAAAAGGCCTTCAAAGGACACAGCGATTCAGGTTGAATCTCTTCAATCGATCAAAACGGTGTCCCGGAGTGGACTTTTGAATTTAGGGAATAGCCAGATGTCATACGGTGTGAATACGGTGGTTGTGGAACGATATGGGTTTCATTTTTGGGGAAAAGGTCATGAAGAATCAATGCAATGTGAGCTGGCGCATTCCTTTTTCGGTACCAATCGAAATTTTACGTGTTTGAGGCCCAAAATGGAAGTGACCGATCCTTTTGAAATTCCAGCATCATCAGCAAGGTTTCTAATTGTAAATCGACGGCTTACAAACACCAAATTTTCTTTGTCTTCAAGCGCTCGTTCTCTGTCTTCGTCTTTGAACTGTTTATACCACTTCTAAATATTTCTTTCCGAAATAGGAATGCTCACCGAATACCTTCTCCAAATTCTATACGTTTCCGCAAACAAAGTTGAATGCAACTTCTTTGCTCAATTAATTCAGACATTTCAAAAATCTCCGGAATCAGTTTTAGCGTCTCACAAAGCCAAGCGTAACTCAAACAAACACTAATGAATATTTTGATGTAAAATTTTCCGCAGAAGTCACAGTGCCACAATCGAAGAAAAGAAAAATAAATGAAATTCCATAAGCCCCTGAAATTTAAATTGAAAATTGGTCTTACTTTTGGACACAGTAGTATGAAGCATTATCTTTGCTTGAGTGCACAAGGGTTGCGATTTAAATCTGCTAGTATAATTCCTTACAGTCCCTGCTTTCGTAAACAAAAGATTCGATGGCGATTGTGACATCGTGCGTAATCATCTTAGAATGACACTCAAGGCTTCCAATTGAAAATTTTTAGCAACTTTTCCATCATTATTATCTCTATGCGGTTCTGCATTTTAACGTATTTAATTTTAATATGGTTTTGGATTTCATAAAATAATTGAATATTTCCCGATTTATCTACTTCCTCATTTTACACACTGTTAATTATAGTAATGAGACTTGAAAGCTAATGATTATCGTTCTACTTCTAATCTTTTTAACAAATAATTGAACATATATCTTTGACTTAAGAATATGGATATGTTTATAATTTATTAATTTTATTTTTTTTTTTTTTTTTTTAATCTCTGAAATTACATATTTTGTTTATTTAAAGTTACTACTCGTATATTCTTCCATGAGCATATAATATTTTTAAATATAGATTTGCATGTTTGACGGAATCTGTTAAACAAAAAGTTATAAATTTCAGTCAAACCCTCTATTTTCTATCAAATAATTATCTTGCAATTTTTTATTTAAAAGCTGGTTTTAGAATATTAGCAGAATGAATGTTTTCCGTAGAAAATTATTTTTCTGAACATCAACTACGAACAATTTGTCAATATTCAAAATTACCTACTACATGTTTTGTGCATCTAATAATCCCATATATTTATAAAGCAATTAATAATATTAAAATATATTAAATAATTGTTAAAATTAATGCTTCAAATTATTTTTATTTGTTTAATAAGTTGTGGAAAGATATGAGTTTCATTTTTGGCGAAAAAGTCACAAGCAATCAATGCAGTGTGAACTGACGTATTCAGTGCTTTCGGTACCAATCGAGATTTAACGCATTTGAGGCCCAACATGTAATTGACCAATCCTTTTGAAATTCCAACACCGTCAGCAAGGTCTCTAATTGTAAATCGACGGTTTGCAACCACCAATCTTTAATTTTTTAGACGTGAGCTTCGTAGGTTGAGGTGGATGATCTACCAGAGGGCTCTTCATCTTCAACGCGTTCTCTGTCTTCTTTGTTTATAACACTTCTAAACATTTCTTTCCGATATAGGAATGCTCACCAAATGCCTTCTACAACATTCTATACATTTCCGCAAACAAATTTAATGTAAATTCTTTGCTGAATTAATTCAAACATTTCAAAAATCGACGGAATCAGTTTTAGCCAATCGTAACTCAAACACTAAGGAATATTTAGACGCCAAATTTCACACAGATGTCAAGGACAGTGTCAGCAACCTAAAAAGAAAAAATTGAAATTCCATAAGCCCCGGAATTTTAAATTGAAAATTTGTCTTATTTTTCGGACAGAGTAGTACACATTTCCTGTTTACAGAAACTCAACTTGTTGTCCATCAAGCCAGTTCAGTCACTTTTTTCATCACCTACACCTCTCATCCGTGCCTTATTTTAAATTTATAAAATTCCTCTTTTACTTCTACTTATGTAGTTCCAATTTTATTATATGAATAAAAATTATTCTTCCATTAACGAAGTTTGGAATTAATTGCTACCAAAATATTTGGTCAATAAATAATTGTTACAAATTGTGTATAACTGCTTATAAATTTGTACCGCTATATGATCCTTAAATTATCTGTTACAAAATATTCGCCCGAAGTTACGGTAGATCAAACTAGGAGAAATTTTTATAATGCACACTCAGCAGGTCTTTTTCATAATAAGATCAATCTTATAATGAAAGTGAAAACATTTTAGATTAACATAGAAAAACAAATTAACGTGATTTACTGCATATCAGCAAAGAAGACTAATACGGAAAATGCAAATTACAGATAACTTTTATCGTTAATTATTATTATCATGACGAATAGATACAGAAACCCTACCTAAAATTAACTAAAATTATCTATATTTTGTTAAAATGTAAAACTTGTGAAATTATAGATTTTCAGCTTTGATAATTGTACTTAAAGACATATATTAAGATAAGCTCATAACTATTTTAGTAATTACATTATCTATATGCTAAATACCTTATGAGTCTCACATTACTTGCATTAATGTTTCTTCTATCAAGGCACAATAAATAACCATTTGACCACGAGATGAATCTAAAAATTTCGCTTTGATATTGCGTGATATTTTAAGAAAATATCGAATCTGTATTTTTATTCCATTTCTGATTTACTCATAACTTAGTTCCTTTAATTTACATTATCTCATAACATGTGTCTAAATGATAATGTTCGCTAGCTTGTGTGCAAAGGACTAAGGTTGGATCACCACTGACTTTGTATACTGACATCCGTGACGATTGTGACACACGAGCTCTTATCGGCAGTTTATTGAGTTTTCGTCCTGTTATGAAAATCAAATATGTAGGTGCTATTATTTATATTATTATACACACATTTATATTATTAGCCACAGTTTTATCCTATTCATATCCCTAACCATATGTCTTTCCTAGTAAAAAAACATTGATTTATAAAATAAGGTGGCTAATTATAAAGTGATTATCAATCTTACCAGGTTCAGGGGTAAAACATCAAGAAGAAAATTTCCATTTCCTTTTTTTTCAATTCCTTCTATTAGCTCACACTCTATATATATCTTGTTCAAATTTTCAATCGTTAATAAAAAATACTTTTTTATTCATCCACTCAAGTTCGAATACATTTTTTAAACTTGTAGTGGATGACACTGGCTGTAAATACAGTTTTTTCAATTATTAATTCATTAATTAGATTTAATTAGCCAATTTTAGTTTTTTTAGTTTTAAGTTGCATGTATATACCAATACATGGCGACTGAAAACTTTAAAAAAAAAAAATGAATGAAAATTAATTATAAGACTTTCTGCATTATAGTGAAAAAAAAAAGTAGGAATTGACTTAAAATATTTTTATTATATTACTTGTTTTTAAATGCTAATCGGTAGAGAAAAACGATCGAATGAATTTCAGCATTTAAACATGAAACTCAATAATTGTTACCAATATGAAAAATTATAATGATTGATAAATAATTGTATCATTCTTTATTGATTAATTAATTCATTTTTTTTATGTTTTCTAAATGACGTTCAGCAGATGTACATTTGAACAATATCATATTTTTTAAGTTTATTATCTTATTAATAAATCTATCCGATTCCGGAATAGAATGACTTACCTTTTGGTGCACACTGAACTTACATAAGTAAACATTTGGTATGAAGTACTAACCAGTATTAATAAACTAATATAATTTTATTGTGTATATAAGATAACAATAATTAATACGCTTGTATTAGTTTCACATGTATATTTGTTTGTCTGTAACTGACTCTTTGGGCTCGATTTTGCCCTACTTTAAGCGTTCAGATTTAATTTAAACGTTGTAGACTTTTCAAGGACCAACGACAATAAAATATTTTTATAAGTTTATTATCTCATCATGATTAGGATCGCCATAATTAGGGATTTTATTTTAACTTATGAAGAGCAATTTAACCCATGTAGAATGAAAGTACCTAAGATATTCAAAATTGCGTGGGACAGTGGCACAACGGGTAACGCACCTGACTGCGAATCAGGAGATCCCAGATTCGAATCCTGGCTTTCACTACGTATTCGCATTTAGCCTTTGTTTTATTCACAATTAAATTATTGTAAGAACTATAGTTCCAGTCCTCCGTACTGGGACCTCATTTAAATATTATAGTTTATAAACACTTAAAAACACGCTTTTAGAGTTAATCAAACTAAAAAAAGTAAAAAAAAAATTTAGTGTTTTTAAACTAAAAAGTAAAAAATTATTTAAAAACACGCTTTTAGAGTTAATCAAACTAAAAAGTAAAAAATAATTGTTAACATAAGAATAAAAGTTATTGACGAGAAAAATAATGTCACTGTTCTTAAAAGCATGGGGTGCTCTATATCAATCGTTATAATTTTCACTAGTTTCATTCCGAAATGCAGAGTTAGTTTAAAAATGTCATACAAAGCATCCCACTCTTTTAGAACAGTGACATTAATTTTCTCGTCAGTAATTTTATTCTTAAGTCAACAATTATTTTTTTACTTTTTAGCTTGATTAACTCTAAAAGCGTGTTTTTCAGTTTTTTAAAACTATAATTTATTTTATATTAATATAGTTATGGCATTAAGTGAGATTTCTTAATAAGAGATTGAAAAGGAAATCTTAGTTTGCTGTATGACCAAATAACTAACTCAAAGAATAGTGAATGAATCCAATTAAATACGATGAATATTTAATTTTAAAAGGACAAAAATATTAGAAAGAATCTTATTTTTTATTTATTTATTTATTTTGAAATTTTCAAGAAACTAGAGGAATATAATAATGTTCTTAACATTCATCAATAATTCTTTTGCTGTCAATTTCAGTGAAAATAAATTCATTTCACACGATTTCTTTGCCTATTTCCTTTTCAAAAACTACATGGAGAATAAATTCCCATGATTATTCAAATTAAAAATCCTATGTATTTCATCAACATTTTAACAACTTCACACACATTTTTAAATTTTGGTTTTTTTCTTAATAAATTTCGTAATCTTCGAAAAGCATTAGATTCGCTTCAAGGCCTAAGACTGTCTTAGTCAATAACGAAATCTATTGCCCTTAAACATGTAATATTTCCTATGAATATTAAATTTTAAAAGATTAACAAATATATTAGAAAAAGTCATAAATTATTTTGATAATTTTCAAGAAATGATGGAATATAATTATTTTCTTGCTATTCACCAATAGTCAATTTGCCTACCAGTTTCTGTGAAAATAAATTTAATTTTCCCTAAATTCTATATCTTTTTTTTCTTACAAAAAACTACATAAGGAGTGGAATTCTCATCATCTTTCATAATAATAATCCTAAGAAATGTATTAATATTATTTTTATATATTTTTTTTTTAAATTTTATCTATTTTCAACATTTTTATGTTTTTATTTTCTTAATACATTTGCCAATTTCTGAAAGATATCAGATTCACTTTACGGCACAAGACTGACTTAAACTGCATGAAAAAGTTTTAAACGGTATTTTTTATTTCCTATGAACTTTTTGATAGTTCTATCTAGTTTTGCTTTTCTCCCAATGGCTTTATAGCAAACCGTGGAATTAATTTCTCTTAATTTCTTTAACTTAATTAATTTGCTAATTAATTTGAGCTTGATTTCTACAACAATTTAACTAATACTAAACCACCTATTTAAAATATGTGTTTAATCAAATTGTTTAATCATTGTTAATTTTTTGTTTTGCAAATTTCTGTTAATCAAATTATTTATTTAAAAAAAATTTATATTTTTATAATTTTCTTTGGTGTGGCCTGTGCCCTTGAAATATTGGAGTATTTTTATTTAACAGAAACTGCTTTACACATTATTTTTATCATTTTAATTCAATTACTCATGTTCCAAAACCTAACTATAACAAGTAATATAAAAAAAAAGTCAATTCCTTCTTTTTTTTTTTTCACTATATTTCAGAAAAATAAATAATTTTTATTCACTTTTTTTAAGTTCATCTGACGTCATCTATTGGTAGATATGTGAGACTTAAATCTAAAAAAACTAAAATTAATTAATTAAAATTTAATTACTGAATTAATATTTGAAAAATACTGTATTAACATCAAGTGTCATCCACTACAAGTTAAAAAAAAATTTAATTGAATTTGAGTGGATGAATAAAAAGTATTTTATTAACGATTGAAAATTTGGACAAGATATATATAGGGAGAGTGTGAGCTAATAGAAGGAATTGAAAAAAGTATATTTTTATAATTTTCTTTTCGTGTTTTGCCCTTGAATTATTGGAGTATTTTTATTTAATCGAAACTGCTTTACAGATTATTTTTATCATTTTAATTCAGTTACTCATGTTCCAAAACCTAACTATAAAAAGATTTCATTTTATATTACTTATTGATAAATCATGTATGTTGAAAGTATTTATATTTTTGTATAAAATAACATTATCGTTCTTTAAATGTATCTTTTCTGATAACAATGATTGAGGATGATCACAACTATCACCTTTTGTTGAATATACAATAATTATTTGAAAAAATATTAAAAGCAGCATTTCTTAAAATAATTAAACTTTCTTCTTTGAGTAAATTTTTTCGTGAAGTATGTATAGTCTACTATAGTCTTGTAGAAAACATTAAATTAGAATTATTTTAGTATACATATATATTCTTGCAAATTTTAACATATTAAAAGTTAACATCATGATATCATTAAATAAAAACTTTTTGAGCCTTTTTGCATGCAGTATCTCATAACTAATTGACTTGAAATGGGATATTTCAAAATTGTACCAGTAGATTAAAAAACACATTTACATAAAATGGCCGATTTTTGTTTCTTAAGAACAAAAATAAATCTCAAATATATATTGCTATTCGTACATAGTTATAACACGTGCATTTAAATAATAAAGTGGTAAAATACTCATTCAAAATTAAAATATTACAGTTTGAAAGAGGATTATTAAAGGAAAAATAAAAATATTGTATTGAATATGAATACTAACAATTTTTTAAACTATATATTATTTTTTTTACATTGTTCTTTGAAATGCTATGCGGTACTTAAACAATCTTTTAAATATTTTCGTATATAGCGTAAGTGTAAATGCAATACTGTAGTAATCGGTTTTAATCAAAAAGTGATAAACAATAACTCAAAAAATATAGTGTACTACTCATTATATTTACACAACATAGCTGAATGCAAGTAAGTTAACATTTAGATTTAAAACAGTTATTTGAAAAACTAAGAAATATTTGTGTGTTCAAAATTCATATTTATTTTCCTTATTTACATTCGACTTAATGTTTTGTAAGTGTACCGAATTTTGCATATTGTGTATAAGTAATTAAATACTAAACGCCATTTTCGAATGTAATGCAATTAAAACAAGAAATATATATATAAAAAAAATTAAGTCAACTGCTCCTTTTTTTTCTCTATAAGGCAGAAAGTCCCTTTATAAATAATTTTCATTCATTTTTTTTAAGTTTATCTGGCGCCATCTATTGGTAGATATATGCAACCTAAATCTAAAAAAAACTATAATTAATTATTTAAATTTAATTACTGAATTAATATTTGAAAAACAGTATTAACATCGAGTGTCATCCACTACAAGTTCAAAAAAAAAAAAATGTATTTGAACTTGAGTGGATGAACAAAAAAATATTTTATGAACGATTGAAAATTTGAACAAGATATATATATAGGGAGAATGCGAGCTAATAGAAGAAATTGAAAAAAAGAAATTCAGAAAAAGAAATAATTAAATCATCATAATTTTTTATATTGATAATTTTTGTGTTATATTTATTCAGTTATTTGACAGAACTTAAGTCTCAACCTATTTGTTTATTCTGAACAATTTATTAATAAATACGTAAATGACATATGCTGTTCTGCCAATTATTCAGAGGGAAGATAAATATTCAGTTGAAAGATAGAAATGGACGAATTATATAATTATGCCTATTTTGTATTAATTATGTATTGCATGTTGCTTTATTGAATTCCTTCTATTAGCTCACACTCTCCCTATATATACCTTGTTCAAATTTTCAGTCGTTCATAAAATACAAATTTTTTATTCATCCATTCAAGTCCAAATACATTTTTTTGAACTTGTAGTGGATGACACTTAATCTTAATACAGTTTTTTCAAAATTATTTCAGTAATTAAATTTAATTAATTAATTTTAGTTTTTTTTTAGATTTAAGTTGCATGCAGGTAATAATAGATTGCGCCAGATAAACTTAAAAAAAAAATGAATGAAAATTATTTATAAAGGACTTTCTGCAATATAGTGAAAAAAAGTAGGAATTGACTTTAAAAAATTTTTATATTACTTGTTTTTTTTTTTGGGGGAAAGGGGGATAATTTGTATCTAATTTTTTTCTTCGCATATTATTAAAAAAAAAAATTTCAATTTAAATTATTAAAAATTTAAAATAATTTATAGTTATTTATAATTTATAATTATTATTTATTATTAAAACTTCTTCGAAATTAACTTTTCTCCCTAATACTACCTAATCCTACACAATTATGTGTGAATCCTTCTAACATGGCGGCATATCAATTTATTTAACAACTTGTCAATTTTCTGATGGTACTTTTTGAGAATGTAGTTATTTTTCCATTAGTTAGAAAGTGGTTCGAATAGTTCAATTATGAATCATTGCCAAAAAATTAATGCAAGTACTGAAAAATCAACCTTGAACTGAAATTGAAATATAGAAAATGAATTACTATTCGATGATTACTACTAGATTATTAATGCTATTTTTATTACCATTTAGAAATATTTAGAAAGCTTTTCCCATAAAAATCAGATAGCAAAAATTTTTTAGAGATTTGAATAATCTTTTCAATTCAACATTAGATACTTATCAAAACCTTTACTATAGTATCGATTTCATTTGTGGGGATATAATCCTGGCACTAATCCTAAATACGTTTCAATGCAATTAGGATTATAGTTCAGAATTTAATTTCGTTATGATTACTTTTATATTTAGTTCTTAGTTTCATAAAGTGAAATGCTTGTATTTTCATTA